CAAGAAGAAGAATCTTTTTACCAGCAAATTGGACTTAAATTTGAGGAAGAAACTAGTGAAATGCTACATTTGGAGCATAGCTCTGTATGGGGCTGAAATATGAACATTTAGGGCAGTAGATCAGAAACATCTGGAAAGTTTTGAAATGGGCTGTTGGAGAAGGATGGAGAAGATCATTTGGTCCGATTATGTGAGAAATGAAGAAGTGTTAATTAGAGTCAGTGAGCAGAGGAATATCCTACATGAAATAAGAAAACGGAAGGCTAATTGGATTGGTCATGTTTTACGCAGAAACTGCCTTCTAAAAGAAGTTATCGAAGGAAAGATAGAGGGGCGGATAGAAGTGACAAGAAGACGAGGGAGAAGACGTAAGAAGATGCTGGATGACCTTGGGGACAGAAGAGGATACTGTCATTTGAAGGAGAAAGCTCTAGATCGCATTAAGTGGAGGAACTGTTTTGGAAGAGACTGTGGACCTGTCGTCTTGACAGATTACTGATGAATGAATGAATTAATGTCGAGAGAGAGATAATGCCGTTGAGACCCACATTAAACATTTGCAGTAAGGAGACTGAAGGATATAAGAGATGTAGAAATGAGGCCGGAAGTGTTGCGGCCAAGTGGCTTTATACGGAGGGGGTACCTGGCTCAAATCTCAGCTCTCCTGACTGATGCCTTTCAAGTTAAGTCAATCAACCTAAAATTCGACGCGTTACAACCTGAACGATTTAAATTATCGCCAAATAAACAAATAATGTATAAAAAGCAAGACACCGGAACAAGAAAATATTCAGACGAATGGACGTAGAAGTTTCAACTCGTGTGAGCTGGCCTTTATCTGTGACACTGTCAGCGTTTGTATAGCATTTGGTGGCAGGATGATTGATGAATTGGGAAGGAAACAGTCGTGTTCCAATCCAGACACTGTCCGTGAATCTGTCTTGGGATGCTGAGACGGTGTCCCGACAGAGATGCGAACCCAGCACCTCAAAAATACGAGTCTAGAGAGTTACCGCTGCGCTAACCCGCTCGATAGACTGGATGTAAGTGAACTTGGAACAAAGGAGAGGAGAGGGGTAGGAGTCTGGGATTCGTCTGCATATGAAGTGAAACCGCTTAGTTTGAAAAATCTAGCAGTTTGCTTTCTGCTCCACTTTAAACATTTAAATTGAGTAATCAAACCGCGGGCGCACGGACAGACGGACATCCATTGTATTCATATGCAACGTGTCAACTCCCTATATATAAAAACTGAAATAATAATAATAAATACAGATACGGATTTCAGCGGTTTGCTGGGAAACGAGGGTGCCGCTGTACAAAAGCTGCCAGATGCAGACCGCACGGGCCTATAACACCCCCCAGCCCCCACAGCCCCCAGCCTCCAGCCCAAGCTGTATGCGCAACAACATACCCCTGCTGCAGTAACTAGCTTTACCGTGCCTCGCTTTATTATGAAGATATTCTTCAGGAGTAATCAGGCGGAAGTACAACATCCCAGCAGTTGTGCAACACCCTCACTCTACCCTATGCAACTCCCTCGCTCTACCCTATCTCAGAATAACATTATACACCAGGGCCTTCCATAATAGCGTGCCCCAGGCCTGTTAGTGTCCACTCTGATTGCGCACCACAATCCGAATTGTTCGCCACTAGCGCGGGTGGCGTTCTCTTGCGTCGCGACGCCCCCAGCGTGTCTGCACAGGCACCATGTTACATCCACAAATTCACACTACTGATTTAACCTTCGTTTTAATATTATCCTCTAATATACACCTGTTTTTCGTGACTGGTCGGTCTCTTCTCTGATAACAGGTAAATCGCAGGAGATTCGAATTCAGCACAAGCCTACTAGACCAAACATTTTAGCAAAAAAATTTTCTAAGCATTTTCTTCTATTCATTCCTGCTACATGCCTCGCCCAGCTCATTTTCCTTTATTTGGTAATTCTAATATATGGCGAAGAGTGCACATTATGAAGCCTCATATTATGTAATTTTCTCCAGTCTCCTGTCATTACCATTTCCCATACGAGAGTGTGCTCAGGTGCAGGCCAAGGTGGGCCTACGTAATTACGCAGACCCGGAGGAACTCAGTCGGTGTAGTAATTATGCCATGGGCTCGATAGCCGAGGGACATGAATTCATTTCCTGGAAGGGACATGAGACTTTTCTCTTCTCAGCAGTGTCCAGAATGGCTCTGGGGCCCACTCAGCCTCCTTTCGAACGGGTACAGGTGGCTCTATCCCCGGGGGTAATGCGGTCGGTTGCGGGGGGGGGTTAAAGCTGACCACTCATCAAGTGCCAAGATTAAGAATGCGTGGAGATATACCTCACTGCCCGCATATATCTTCATACCATGACGCCTACTTGATTAATTAATGTCTCCAATTTCGGGATATGTCCGATTCGAGGTACGAGACCCTAAATTCATCCCAAACTTGGTAGGTCCTGTGTGTTCACCGGTTCTGACTTATCTCCATACAAGGTTCAGTAATGTAGTGCCGTCAATTATGGTCTGATGTGAGACCTGATGTTCCCTCGGCTGTGGCAATGTAGACTGCAGTATTTTGGGGCGTGACACCGTGCATTTTTGTATACAGCCGACTCTATTATGGAGAACTGCAATACACACCGCTCATTTCCCAATGGATTTAAAACGTTTTACCACGAAATACAGTTTGTCCCGAAACTGGATACATCTGCCCCACGTAACACTGAGAAAGAAACTCTCTTTATTCAGGTGTAGGAGTGGGGTCAGCCCGAGCCCCAAATGGGGCCACTGTAGCAGCCCCTGACGACAGGTGATCATGAACCATTCGTGATATTATCATTGGCAGCGGAAAGCCGAAAAGCTCGGAGAAGAATCTGCTCCAGTCCCACATTGTCCAAAACAAATCGCAGATGAACCGTCTTGGGATCTGAACCCGGGCCTAGGCCTGAGCTGCCTCATGACTCAATTTGAACCTCGGCCGAGCTTTTCGTGGTGTTCCTCAGTTCCTCCAGGCAAATACTAGACCAGACCATGATCACCTCCTTCCCAATCACTTCCAGTTCATTATTATTATACAGTCTGACGTCATACCTGGCCAGGTACCGACAGTGTCGCAGAAGAATCCAGAAACTGAGCCATCCAGCGCGTCCACTGGCTCCTCTTTGTGTGTGACGCCGTGGCAATGCGTGCCGCTCCGTTCACACGTTACGGCTCCAACAATGCATCATCTTGTCTCTCTTTAATTCACCCTTCCCGTCTGAGTACAGAGCCCCCGAGCGGGAGGGCGAGGTGCGCCCAAAATCTGAGGGATCCGTTTGTGTGGGTGCCCATAAGCAATTGTCCGTATCTTGGATTTATGGAAAGTAAATGCGCCGAAGAAGTAAGTTACCATAAAATAGAAATATCAGTAAACGTTATGTGGCATATTTAAAATATCCGACGAGAGTAACAAATCGAAATTACATTCACGAAGAGTAGCCTGTCGAATTTGAGAGTCCCACGGTGGTCACTATTTTCTGGGATGTGATGTCGCATAGTCCTGAAGAAGACCAACAATCTTCCCCCCGAAACGTCCTCAGCATTCCGCCTGCTTCTTGTTGCTTTCTTGCCTGACCTCATCTCCGGCTCTGAGAATGGGGTACGTTGACCAGAATCGACGATGGACTTCTACAAGATTGCACGGCGGTACGTCCATCGTATTTCAGTTCGGAAATCAGCCTCTACGCAAGCGAAATGCGCATCTTCTCCCACCGCAGAGACACCCTGTTCACTCGCGGACTGTAACTGCTTGCCAAGATCAGACAGGTTCAATATTCATAAGAGGAATCGTACCTGAGCCAGGTATGACCAACATGGCGGACAACAGCTGCTGTTTTTACTGGCGATGAAAGGGAATGTAGAACGTTGTAACCAGCGGCAAGTCGTGCAGATGGCAATGGCGCCCGTTTGAAGAAACCGACATCAAACCTGATTCTGCCATCCGATGTGACAGGAAGGGGAGGGACTGGCTCTAGAAACGCCCTGAAACCGCAGGCAATCTGCAACCTAATACGTTCTGCCATAATTCATACCATCTTTAATATATTACATGAGTATAGGTAACTGTGCTCTATTGAATAATACATAGATACTGGACCCATGGTCCACATTGTTATTTTGTTCATTATTATTGTGATGGAGCTAGAGTAGGTGAGGCTGGTTGTCAAGTGACGGGATCGCATTATGCGTGAGGTTTATTTGTTGACACAGCGAGCACATGCTCTAACCATACAGCCTCTTAGAATGAGCCTTAGTTTGGGTTTCTGAGGGAGGGACGGGGAAGTGGAGGGTTCTATTTGAGGACAAGATAATCTTTCGAGTTCTTAAGTTCCTGTAAATATCATATAGCAATTCAGTTCGTACCTCACAGGAAACACATTACGTCTTGGCTACCGAACCCAACCGGTTAATGTTGTTTACTGTGAGAACCATACGGAACATACAGATACACTGTGTGGGCAGAATATATAACAATTCAAACCGTACCTCACAGGAAACACATTACGTCTCCGCTACAGAGCCCAACCGGTTAATGCTGTTTAGGGAAACAGTCGCTGTTTATTGTGAGAACCATAGGGAACATATAAATGTAGTCTGTGGGCAGACTGCAGGGGTTTTAGTATGTTAAAGCAGTCGAATGGTGTGAAATTTGGGGAATAAATCGTTTCTGACTTAATGTAAAGAATGTATTCCGACGTTTACTTGGAGGGACTGACGAAATACAAAAGAATCCTCAAATGTCCCGAAGGCATTCGAACCTGTGACCTCCGGAGTGTATGCCAGAGGCGTTACTGCTTCAGCCAGCGTAGTCCGTTTACAAGTTATGACAGAAATAAGGAGGCTTGCGCGTACCTCTGCGGTACAGTTGATAATATTTTGGCTGTGGTCACGTCAGTCAACCAAGTTGCCTCACTGTTCATTGACGACGCCGTCAGCATCGAGACTCTAGCGTCTATCCTCTGTTGCAGGTGTCTTCAATAAACCGGGTGCTACGGAACCTTGCCGCGCAAAAGGAGCAGCAAGTGACCGCGCAGAACGAGTCCGTCTACGACAAGTTGAGGATGTTCAACGGGCAGCCCGGGGGGTGGGCCTGGTACCCCGGAACGCCTCCCACGCCGCACCTCAGCCTACCCCCAAACCCTGCAGCCGCCACGGTATTGCCTGGCGCCCAGGTCACCCGTGATGACATCCAGAAGCGAGGTGGGTACTTCGATACCAGAAACCACCACAGCCCTCAATGCTGCGGTGGAGACCCGAAATTAGCAAGTTTAGAGCAGAAATTTGGCTTGTGACACTTGTCCCAGAGCGCTGCTGATGTCATGAATGGGTAACACCAGCAGGAGTACTCGTTCTTCGTCCGGGACACGGTTGCGTTCCTGGCCATTATCTCAATATACAGTGGCTAAAATTTCAACGAAGCAATAGCAATCAAGTTAGCATATTAGAACAGACTGGAAACTAGGACTCGAAACCCACCCAAAAACTCCGCCGCAACACTTGCATATCGCTTTAACAGCCGTGGCTACCGTATAGATTGATAAAGGCACGGAGTTGTTTTCATAATATCTTTGGGTGTTCTCTGTGAGGTTCGCTGTAAGGGACAGGAAACTACATATATGTATTAGACAATGACGAATCACTCAGTACGTTGTTCTATGTTCTGTTTTCCAAAAGTTCAATTCTGAAATGGAGGTAGCAAGTCCCTTCGAATATTTTGTGTCCGCCCGAAAACTACAGACAGTTTCACAATGCGAAGACCACGAATTCAGCATAACTCATTTGCAAATCTATGCAACAGAATGTTTTCTTCCCCAGTTAATTCTGCCCTCTCTGTGGAAATAATATGTTACTGAGAGCATATCAGCTACAGCCTTGTTGAAGCGTAATGCAGCCGCAGTGAGGGGAACCCCTAACTCACCTGCGGGATAGGCCTCCCGTCACGAGTAGTGTGTTCCGTAATCTTGAGCCTTTCTCTCGTCCTGTAGCTGCTTTCGTCTCGTCACAAAAAGTCGAAACACTTTTCTTAAACCAAATACCAAAATAATTTAATTTTCAACTCCTTACATTTGTTTGCCACCGTCATAATTTGTCCCAGCTTCAATTGCCATTGACTCCCGATTCGATCCTCTGCTTCGTGGGTGTGTAAGCCAAGCTGATTCAAAGTGTCCACAGTCTGCCTAAATAAATTCCAAGCTATTTTAATGAAACCCTCCACGACCGCTTCCTTTCACGTACTTTCGAAACCGAGTATTCATAATTACCGTCCATTTCAATGATTATAGTTCGCTTGCGGACTGAAACCACGGAGTTTGTTTTTTTTTTTTCGATGATATGGTTTGTTAGGCTGTTGGGATATGGCCGTTAAGAAGACAAACATATGGCGACAGGAAATTTAAACCGATTTACTTATATCTAACTAGCTCTGTGGAGCAGCGTCCTTCTTGAGAAGCTGACAGTCGCTCAGCTACACGGTTTGTATCAAATTTGAAGGTTCATTGGGTTCTATCCAGAATCAACTGACTCTAGCCCAACTTCTAACCTCACTTATTTAGTGATGTACACATTTTATTATTATCATACCCATCTACGCGTAGGTCTTCCAAGTTATCTTCTTTCTTCAGGTTTATCGCTCATTATTTTTCAGCATTCCAGATGTATTCCATGTGTGCTACATGCCAAGCCCATCTCATGTTTGTTAATGTTGATCATCATAAGATATCTGGAGAGCATAAATTGTGAAGTTTCTCATAATGCAATCATTTCCACCCTCCTGCCACGTCCCGTCTGAAATATCTTCGAGGGTGCTTTATACCTTGAGTATGGAATCTTGCGAAGGAAAATTATTTTTCCGGTCTGGCGATTCTGGTTCCAATCATGTGTTGAAAACAGAACCTAATTCTAATGACGTCAGTATGTGATGACGCGCCATAATATGTCTTTCAGACACACTACTTCCTGTCTCTTGCGCTTAGATCTCTCCCCCCACCCCACCCCGTTCTCAGACACCCTCAGTCCGTGTTCTTCAGAATCTGCATGCACCCACAGCACTGCGAGGCACAACACGAACCGAGTTTCGAACCCATGTCATCGTGTTTCTGTCGCTTATACGGCAAGGACAAAGCGATGACATTTATAGAACAACAGTCATTAAACAAATAACTGTTGAGGGTGAGGGTTGGGGATGGGGTTGTTAGCGCACAAGCAAGTACAGCACGGCGCTATGTACACGCCTCCCCACTGCATAATACAGACAAACAGCGCGGTGGCGGGGGCGGGGGTGGGGGCGGCTTTGCCAAACATTAACAGACCTACCCATAACAGAGCAGAGCGGCCTCAACCTGTTGGCGGCAGGTGGCAACACCTGAACACCTACCGGACCAACACCGCTTCGCTTTCGGCTGGTAACAATTCCATGTTGCCATGTTAGAAACAATTACAGCACAAGGAGCTTCCTAATCTGTACCGCACCCAGTGTTCACCAACCTGTGGGACGCGACGTCTGTGTCGTAGCTCAGGCGGGTAGTCACCGGGTTCCCGGGTTCGAGCCCAGATCAGGGCATGTGGGATTTGTGGTGGACAAAGTGGCACTGGGGCGGGTTCTCTCCCAGTACTTCGGCTTCCCCTGCCGATTCTCATTCAACCGACTGCTCCACGCTCATCATCTACCGTGTGAGGCTGGTACAGTGGGCCAGTTAATGGCTGACGTACCGAGTCGACTCAGTCTCACCCCACCCCTCATACAAATTGAGAAACCGCCTAAAATGAGGAAGGGTCATAGTTCTGAAGCAGTTGAACTGGAGACTGTGCTCCACTTGTTCACTTTGCGTCCTGCTCACCGCGACGCAGTGCTCTCTGCCTCCTAAACGGCGGAACAAGGTTACACAGATTATCCGCGTCTCCAGTAACGGGAAGTCTTACTGGCATCGTGACAGTCTGCTCCAAAATGTGGGTTCCTATTTGTCAGCAGAGGCCGGGATAGCTAAGTTAGTACATTGGCTAGCGCACAGGCTGTAAGTTGTAGGATCCGGGGTTAAATTCTCTGCAGGCGTCCTCTCGAATAAATGCCTCAGTCTCTTTATTCGGCGGTAAAGCTGTCGGGGCTTGAAGCATGAAGTGCCGAAGTTAAGAATGCGTGGAATTATACCTCCATTCCCTATACGTCTTCATGTAGAAGTGCTTAATTCAGCACAGGACAACAAGCGACCCGGTAGGTCAGTTTCGTGTATGAATGTTATCCGGACCTGAGCAGTGCTCACTAGCCTGAGTGTTCAAAGCAAGAATATGTTAATTCACTTTAGATAGTAAGTTCTGTAAAGCACTGTAGACACGAAAATTTCTATTTTCTGTAACATATCGCTGTGTACTCCGATGAAAGTCAACCTAATTTTCGAAGGAAAATATCGACTCCATTTTCAGGGCTGAAGAATAAGCCAAGAAGGAAACCAGCAGAAAAAAATTGGAGCAAGAAGGGATATGTTTCGTGCTGGTTTCTTGTTTGGCTCACTCTTGAACTCTGAAGATGGAGGTGATATGTCACCCCGTAACGTCGCTTGGCTTCCACCGGAGTACACAACATTATGTCCCACAAGACAGAGCTACTCATAGTCACAGATGAGCGAACCTGGGAACCTGCGCTGTGGAATTAGATTTTCTGATTTCTTGGGGGCTTCCAGGGTAGGGGGTTTAATTTTGAGAGATTTAAATCGAGAAGGCTCTATCAGAAATATGAAATACTAAGTTCATGTAAATAATATTTAAGAATTAAATTTTATACCTTACAGAAAACACACTGTTCTCTCTCCATGACAACGACCAGTCAGTTAATTCTATTTAGGGAAGAAACAATGGAGAATCCCATGAAACACATAAACACGCAGTGTGGGCAAAATGCGAAGTTCCTTATGTTAAATGCGGTGGTATATATAGTTACCACTTTGTTTCAGAGGGTTTAAGAGGGGCAAGGCACAAGCAGCTGAAATGTCTATCTCTAAAGAAAGAAGAAATGAGGGAAAAATAGGAATTTGTTGAAATAAAGTGGAGATGAAGGTGGAAAGAGATTAAACGAGGAATGGGTGGGGGTGAGGGGGAGCATTACTGTATCTAACCAGGGCAGGAGGAGAAGCAAGGAGCAAGCAAGAGAAAATTAGTTTCTGTGAGAACTTCCCTCTGCCTGCTTCTCTCTGGCTGCGGGGAAGGGGTAGTTCCTGCAGACAGAAGAAGAACTCTGTTCCAGGTCCCCCTCCACACCACAGCAGTTCGCGGTACGGAGCGCAAGCCCTCAGGAATCGATGGCGAGCCTCCTCCATCGGGTGTTCGAAAAAATCAGACGGCACTCAGAGAATCGTAGAGAAATCGCTGTATTTCCGCCGTACTTAACGGCGCTGTCAGCTGCGCGGAATGGTAAGCCGGCCCGTGAATAATGAAATGGGAAGCACGGGGAAGCAAGCGGTGACTGCATTGTCCTGCCAACAACTCCTCAGTCAGAATGTCCGGATTTCGGGCCGAGACTTGGACCAGGATTCGACACCTGGCAGAGGCAGATTTCTCCTCTATGCTACCCCGTCTCCCTCTGGCCCCCTTCCAGTTTTCTGCCTCACGTTTCCTTCTCTGAGGTTGAGAATATAAGGAGCTTCACCTCCATTCCATTAGACGTTCCGGCAGAAGGATGTGAACGCTTGTAGTTACGTGAGGGCACACGGACAGGTCGGCTAACCCTTCAGCGGGGTGAGGGTGGGAGATGTATCGTAATGCCTCTGCATCCCCCCAATCAATGAAGCGTGTACGGCGCCTGCGCTCTCCTGCCACAGCTTGACTCTGCTATTGCAGCCAAGAAATGTTCTAACTACTGCAACAGTGCATTAAGAAACAATTTGAATTTACATATTCATTTGCTTGTGTTTCTGGGCGTTATCCATCGTCCTGTTTCTGTTTAAAACAGAAGGATTCGAAGAATGGTTTCTGTCTCCGTCTTCAGGTGGAACCTGCTCAGTTGTGCCCAATATTCCCTGTCTCCTGACCTCTTTTAGACCTCACGTATTTGTTTGTTTACTTAGGCTGGGAACCTAAGGAGAGGAAAACTCTCAGAGGACTTGGGCGTACACCTGACCCGAGTATAATATTGAAACGGGTTTTACAGAAATAGAGTGATATATATGTTTGGAAGTAGCGTCCAGTGGTGAGGTAAATGTAAAGTTGTCCCT